AAGGATAATGATAGCAGCCAGTTTTCGAGGTTGGAACCCAATGGAACACATGATCAGATTCTAAGCCTATTAATGCATATCTCTCTGTCAGATAAACTGTGTCATCATTTAGGAAAGTTGTGGTTTATTTTACTTGTTTGATTTGTTTTGTTCTTCTGATGATGGGCATTATTTAACTAGAAAGTGCACCAGCTGAACAAGGTAAGAATGAACACGTGACCCTGCTGTTGGTTGACTCGCCTTGACTCCCCATCTCTTTCCCAACCTGATGCTAGATACACATCACTTATGTCAGCCGAAACCACTTTTTGCCAGATGACTCCCTGATCAGATACCAACAGAAGAGCCACAAAAAAGATGGAAGAATGGTGGAGTAAAGGAGGAGTTGAGTTATTCCCAGCCAAAGCCCAGCCAGACAAGCTAGGGAGAGGCCACAATGTTTCCACAATGTTATGCTAGGGTGAGGAATGTTCTAAGCAGTTTCCAATAGATTGAAACCAATCGGTGCTCCATAAAGACATTTCCTTTTCTGACCAGGGAGGATCTAGATTTAGTTCTGACTCGGCAAGCCTAATACCTGCTCAGTTGGGCCTTGGTCATTTCGGTCCTAATGATCAGGCTATCAAGCAGTAAGGAGCCTATTTTGGGATGCAATCTCAAGGGTTAGTTGAGATGTTGAAGGGAACCCATAAAGCCGTGCATAATGCAAAAGCTGCATCCAGACATTTGCCTGTGTGACCGTGCTTCTTATGGACCCTGCTGTTTTGCTCCACTCAAATCATGCAATGTGACTTTTGACCGATGAACCAGATGGCCATTAGTTACAAGCAACACATAAAAATATTCATGCCTATGCAAGTTTCTGTTAGTTAATTACAGGCTTCTTTTTGAGCAATTTGCTGACCGCAAACTATCCATTAAAACCCGGTTATATAATAAATAAATACATTAAATGCACCATCAAGGCTTCTTTAGAAACCCTGATATCTTTCAGATGTGCTGAGAGATAATTTACTGGTGGTTCTATGTATAATCCTTGGCATCTCCAGATAGAACTGGAAAAAAACATGAACATCTCCTACCAGTTTATGTTATCCATACTGAGCTAAAATAGACCTGCTAGATCTGGGCTGCAGGAATCCAGATAACAATTGGATGGCAGCAAAGAAATACAGAAATTAGTGCTACATTCTAGTGCTCATTCAGATTTTGCAGACCAGATCTAGTAGGCTAAGCCAGATGAACCAATAGTTTGACTTTGTAGAAGGCAACTTCTTATGTTGTTATGTCTCTTGTAATTCCTACTGGGTATTATGGGAGTTATATTCAATACATCGGGGGGGATGTCAAGTTGGGAAGGCTGAATTCCATTCCACCAAAAACAGTTCATATTATCCAAGGGAAAAGTATAATTTGGAACCTTTGATGTACCAAAAATGGATGCAAACCCAATTTTCTCTAAAGGCACTGAGATGCAAGTATCTTACATATTTCAATGGAATGCAATTTCTATATCTCTGAATTGTGCCTTTTATTTTTGGTGCATTTTGAAAACATAGAAATTGTGTCTTGGTCTACTCTACCAAGTTGAAATTGGGTCTCTGCAGAAAACATCCAGTACAGGAGTAAGAAGGTGCTTTAGACTGAATTGGTCTAAAGTTGGCTTATCTTGACTGGTACACTTATGGAATGCTAGCATTATTCAGTATGTCCCACCGGGGTCCTTTCAAGGCTATTTGAATAAGGTGAAAGTTGAACCAGGAACTTTATGCATGTGAAACATGTAGTCTAGCTTAGCAGACTCCTGTGAATGAGGTCAGATTCTTTTAACATCCAACTGAAGAACACCAGACACATATCAGATATTTTAATACTGTTATGCATTGCTATTCTGCTTTTTAGCCAGTTGTCAGCTCACAGTTAAACACAGGTGCACATAGCAAGTAGAAAACAGCAATCAGACATGAAAAGAGTATCACAGATATAGATATCACAATAGCAAGTGTTAGCTTTTGCAATCCAAGTCAAAGGAAAGATTAATCAGTAAAAAAGGGGAAAGTTGCCTCAAAGTCTAGGTCTACAAAGATCTATGTGATCATCTGCTGACCTTCAAATGGTGGTGGCACATGGAATAAAACCTCCTTTTAAAGATTTCCAAAGGTGGCCAAAATAATAAGAAAGTCAATGTGCCTTCCAATAGCGAGACCCCAAATTATTTGTGGTTTAAAGAGTATATCTAGCACCTTGAATTGAGTCTGGAAACAGGTTAGGAACAAGTGACAATTGACTAATTTCAGAATAACACTTTTTATGTAATGTGGCTCCAATTTATACTCTGTCAGCAGCATTCAAACTCGTTATATTTTCTGGATATGCTTCAAAGGCATAGAGCATGTTGAAAAAGCTGTAAAGATTAAGCAGCACATGATGGTGTGATTTGCCTTCTCCAAAATGAATCATAGTTGGTACAGTGCATGAAGTTATTCAAAAGCACTTTGGTATGTCACCACCACCTGACTCCCATCCCCAAAGCAAAGCTGGCTCTGGAAGTACTTCTGGACTGCACAGTCTAATCCACAACTGTCTGAACATTCATTCCTGAATCAGTTTTCCAGCTATCCAAAAGCACTTTTTGGTTGTCTGGACCTATTCAGACAATGCAAAGGTACTTTTTCCCTGATTTTTTCCCCTCTTTTTGCCTCCTGATTTTAGAAATGAACACTCAGTTTGCAAGTCCACAGTATGTACTGTTGCCTCGGACTAAACCCCATTGTTATTGTAAAGCTACTTATAGGAATGGATGCATCTTTCTATTCTGCTTTTTTCTACAACTGAATGGTTTAGCACCTAAATTCTTGCCCTCCCACATTGAATAAATTTGCAGGTATTAGTAAGATCATATAAAAATGAACCAAATAAAATTTTCACTCATCTCAACATATTACAAAGGAAACCTAAAAGGACTGTTGAGCATGACTGCGCTAAAAACTAAACTCTGCCACATTTTGAAACAGAATCACAAGGGAGGAGAAACTAGTCCAGATGGTCACTGGAAAGTGACTTCTCCATCTTGATGATGGGTACTAGGTAGTTCCAGAATGTAGAAAGAAGAGGGCAGGCTTCTGAAGAGAAGATGATAACTGTTTGGAATGTTGCATTCTTACAGATATACTATATAAATGAAAATAATTACAAATCTGTATCAGACTTAACAAAAGGAAATGTGCTATCAGCCTCAAGTAATTCTTCAAATATTAATTGAGGTCTTAACTATCAAAGGTCCCAGAAAGATAATAGGAATTCTTATGTTATCAACTGAGCTTTTGAGAGACAGGCAGTGTTTAAAATATGGCATATTGTAAAGGGTGTGTTTATTTGTATAATATGGATAATCATATTGCACTGAAACAAATCAGCAACATATTGCTGGCTGAAACAAACCAGCTGCCTTATAAAGAATACTCATATTCATGGCATCCACAAGGTTGGGGGAGAGGAGCAATAAGCATCATATGAGTCATGATGTCATTGCATAAATAACACAAATTATGTCATTTGTGGCAAACCACATAATTTGTGGGATTATGTCATTAGACACGTGGCATAACTGTGGCTTTTACCTGATGCCTGTGCTTGTATTTTAGTCCTTGTTGCACTTTTTCTTGAAAGAGAACAAAAAGTGCTCTTCAGGCTTCATATGAATTGTTTTTCTCAGCTTGTTCATTCTGTAGCCAAAGAAAACAAAACATGTAGTACAGTTCTATGCCTATTTACTCAGAAACAAGTCCCACCAATTTCATTGGGATTTATTCTTTCCTAAGTGTGTATGTGTGTGCATATATAAACTTTAGTGCAGTTACGTATCTAATTTATCACAAATACAGAATCATATGGATGATCATGGCATCTCCCCTGCCAGGTAAGTATTCAGGTATTTCTCTGCTTGTTCTGGAATGCAGCCACAAGACAACTCTTAGATATCAAATCAACATTACAAAAACCTGTATGCATTACTAAGGGACTGACAAATTGGTCCTCAATTATCTCCATTTGGCATTTCAGCGTAATTGTATTTCATCTAGCTATAATGATCAGGGAGATGTAGGGAAAGAAAACAGGTTAAGATTTAGTCGTTCTTCTTGCACCTGTTAGGAAAAGAATCAAAGCAAAATGCACATAAGAGCATCCACATCAGCCACACTGACCTGACCGCCTCTTTTTCTGCCACTTCCCGCATAGTGCTGCCTTCATCTCTTCTGCAATCCTGGAGGAGGATAGGCTTGAGTGGCCCTTAGCTACAGCAAAGTTAAATTTGCATTTTTCCCCTTAATCTGGTTCCATCTAAGGGTGGCCTCGGGGAGTGTAAACCTGTTTGTCTTTGACACCCGTGACCTTGGAGGGAAGTTAAGTGATGGTTTTACCTGGCAGTGGCTGGGAATAGAGCCAATAGAGGCAACAGGGGTAGGATAGAGATGGGCCAGGTTGACAGCAAATTTTCATGGTGGTATTGCTTCCTGCCAGCTCTAGGATGGATGGAGATCCCTGTAAAGACCCATAACCATCCCTGCCAGCCTTCTACCCCTCACACACAAGGAAGTCCCTCTGTTGCCTTCTGTTGGTCAGCTAGAGCTTTCTGGGCCACTGTGTACCCACTCTTTGATCTGCAATGCTTTAACTCCAAAGCATAAACAAGCTGTGCTCTCCGTTCCAGAGATTCCTTGGGGAACTTCAACAAACAGCGGTAGAGCACATACATTACCACTCTTGGCTATCTGATATCTTGAAATAAAAGTTGCCCTTTCAGATATCATGGCCATATCCAGAAAAGTCGGATGACTCTTATCTTTCACAAAACTGAAATGTCTGACATTAACCAAGTTATTGATTTGCTCAGGTTTCTTGTTTACCCACAGGTATTTTGTCACAACTGTTTTCTTTTATCGTAGGAATGTGAGACTTTTGAGAAGTGTTGTCCTAATGTCTGTGGAACACGAAGTTGTGTTGCAGCCCGGTACATGGATGTTAGAGGGAAGAAAGGACCTGTCGGGATGCCCAAAGAAGCTACGTGTGACCGATTCATGTGCATCCAGCAAGGTTCAGAGTGTGACATCTGGGATGGGCAGCCTGTCTGCAAATGCAAGGATAGGTGTGAAAAGGAGCCAAGTTTTACATGTGCATCTGATGGGCTCACCTATTATAACAAGTGTTACATGGATGCAGAAGCATGTACCAAAGGCATCACCCTCAACGTAGTGACCTGTCGCTATCATCTCACCTGGCCAAACACCAGCCCTGTCCCAGCAGAGACTACAGCTCAACCCACAACTGCTTACTTGGAGACCACCATCACAGACATCCTTCCTCCTGTTTTAGTCAACAACCCAGCCCATCAGTCTGTCTACGTAGGAGAGACTGTAAGCTTTCTTTGCGATGTCACCGGTCGACCTAAACCAGAAATCACTTGGGAGAAGGAGACTGAGAATAAAGAGAAAATAATTATGAGGCCTAACCATGTCCAAGGAAATATTGTTGTCACCAATATTGCCCAGCTGGTAATCTATAACACACAACTACAAGATGCAGGCATTTACACCTGCACAGCCAAAAATCTTGGTGGCACTTTACGGGTTGATTTTCCATTATCGGTCCTCCAAGGAGAAGCTACTTCCCAAGAAACAGCACAGAATAAAACCCACTTTCCAACCAATGAGTGTCTGAAGCAACCTGACAGTGAAGATTGTGGAGAAGAGCAAACCAGATGGTATTATGATGCAAAGAAAAACAACTGTTTTACTTTCATTTATGGGAACTGTAATAGCAACCTCAATCATTTTGAGACCTATGAGAACTGTATGTTGACATGCATGAATGGCCCCATCAACATCTGCAATTTGCCGGCCCTGCAAGGTCACTGCAAAGCCTACGAGCCCCGGTGGGCATACAACAGCTTGACGAAACAATGCCAGTCTTTCATTTATGGAGGCTGCGGAGGCAACGAGAATAATTTTGAAAGCCGAGAGGCCTGTGAAGAAACGTGTCCTTTCCCTCGGGATGGGCTCTGCAAAGTTTGCAAGGCTTGCAAACCCCGGCAAAAGCTGGTGACCAGCTTCTGCAAAAGCGATTTTGTTATTCTTGGCCGCGTCACGGAACTGACAGAGGACCAAGATTCCGGACATGCACTGGTGACAGTGGAGGAGATTCTAAAGGATGAGAAAATGGGACTACAATTCCTGGGGAGGGAGCCTTTAGAAATTACCTTGTTAAACATGAACTGGAGCTGCCCATGCCCCAACATAACGGCAGCGGAGGGCCAGCTCATCATCATGGGTGAGGTCTACAACGGGATGGCTGTTTTACAGCCAGATAGCTTTGTTGGGGCCTCAAGTGTCCGACGCGTTCGAAAGCTTCATGAGGTCATCCACAAGAAAACCTGTGAGCTATTAAAAGAGTTCTTGGGACTGCACTAATGCCCTGAGAGTAGTTTGCTGGCTTTCCAGATCTGTGCATTATATAGTGCTAAGAAATGATAGATTTACCCTGAAAATCCCTTTTGTAACTCCTGTTTGCTGATATATGTTATGCATTACATATGAATGAAGGAATGGTATGTAGCAGGGAGGTGGTTGCCTTTTCGACAAGTATTTTAAAATAGCAGCAAACAGCAATTAGTCTTTAGATTTCAATCTATCTATCGCTCTAGAAATGCCATCTGGCGATTATCGCTTACTAACAATGCAGTTTTCATCATATAAAAATCAATTTCACAGCATTTGTCTAGAGCTAAAACATGCACATTCTTACTCTAATGATAATAGCTCTTGTTTGGAATATAGAGATGTTTGTGAAAAGCATCTGAAATGTGTCACACTCTTAAGTATATTGCAAAAGAATATGTAAATTATTGCCTATATTTACGATAATTGTAGCCGTTAAACCAATCCATTGCAGCATCTGTTCTGACTAGAAGTGTTTTAAAGGCAGGGATTTCATCTTTAACAGACATTTATGTAGCAGATTTTTATACAGTGTTCCCATCTAGCCACATTCCAAATGATGTGTTCTGTCAGATGATGAACCTGGAGGCAGAACCACACATTATGATCTCACTGCACTTTTCTGCTCAAGGAAAACATTGGGTACCACATTAGGTATTAAGCGTCTCTTTATGTAAGATGGTCATTGCACATCAGCCATTTTGCATTGCACTGAGGAGCAGCTCTGCTCCTTAAACATTTGTTTCTCAGCTCCCAAAACCCCTTCCAACCTCACTGCTCAATTGCGATTTCTTGCTACCTTTCGGAGGGAATTAAGGAAAACTGTAGTGTAAGCTTCAAGTAGTCTTAACAGAATTCAAACAAACAAGGATCTCCCTACAAAAATCCAGAATAAAATAGAAAATAACATCTTGCTTCCTCTCTCCTACCACTGGGGACTTTGTCTTCCTCACCCACTTACCCCACTACCAACTCCTGTTGTACCCCAAAGAACAATAGTTATTTTTGTTTAGAGAGGCATTTTTAATGCTAAATACCTTCCTGGGGGGCTGCCAAAGGGGGAAGGGGAGGAATCAGAGATAGGGAAGTCAGCCTCAATTAGCCTCAGTATGTACATGTGGACATTTTCTGAAGCCAAGCCAAATTTATCAGATATCTAAGATTTGCATTATTATTATTATTATTATTATTATTATTATTATTATTATTAATTCAGTGAGAGAGCACTAGAGTGCTGAGTTTGAAAGCAATGGATTAATCTCATCCTCAGATAGACACAGCATGTTTATAGGCATTAGTATTTTCACATTTTCCAAGTAAACTCACTACTTAGACCAAAACCCAGTGGGGTGGATGCAGTGCAGGGACAGAGAGTGGAAAGTCAGTTGCAGCTGTTCTTCTGGCTGAAGACCAGTGAGGGTGACCCTTCCTTCATTACTTATTCTCAGCATCACTTGAATGGTCTGGCAACCCTGATTTTAGTCCCAACCCCAGCAAGTTGTCTTTTTCTTGTCTCAGTTTTGGCAGCCTCATCCTGCTCTTCTGCAATACCACAAAACACCATCCAGATGCCAAATGCAGAGGATAGTGAAGGGAGGCATCATTATTGCAGCTGGATTTTCCATACCCAAAGCTAAGACTGGGGGTTGTTGTGAAGGTCAGTTACCGGACCAAGGCTCCAAGTTGCATTAGGAGCCTTGTGTCTAGCAATAGCCCTCTTCTCTTCTTATCTTTAAGCCAGGGACACAGATTCATTGTTGGAAGCCAAGGCTGAAATTTACCAAAAAAAGATACCTCAGAGTGATGGATATCCCTTCACAACTGTCTGATCTCTGCCTCAGTTTATTTATACACACACACACACACACACACACACACACACACACATATTGTAGGATCCACTTAAGGCATATTTTCCTGCTTTCTGTTGGTCTCTTTCAGTTATTAAAAAGCTTTGTTTTTAGGCTAGCAAGCCAGTAGAGTTGACCAATCAAGACTGTGTGATCTGATGAGGGTCAGGCTTTTAGCATGAGCACACTGCTAAGTGCCGTTCCCCTTTGCAGTTACCACAGCACAGACATGCCCTGGCATTGTTTTGTTTTTTTCTGCTTTGCCTTGATCTTGTCCTCATCCCCTGAGCAGGGCAACCTTAAATCACCCTTAGCCTTTAGCTGTGATGCTGTTAAAAGAGGGCTTTCCCTGAAGCCAAGAGCATCCAGAAACAGTTGCAAAGAGTGTAAGAGCTGATGCACTTTGACACCAATTCTATCAGAGGTGAAGTCAGACAGGATCAGCTGGGTGCTTCTTGGCCATTTCAGGCCAAAGCAGGGATTTCCTTCTCTTCTAGTTCCTAGGTGGTCTCCTCTGCCACTCAGCTCCTCATCTGCTCCCCTTCCTCCCCCCCTTGTTTCGGGCCCTTCCCAGCTGCTTCACTTCCAGCAGTCCCAGCTCCCCTTCCAGTATCTCAGCACTGAGGCCACATGAAGAGCCCTTCTGGCTCAGTCAGTTGTGCCCTAGAGAGAAAGCAAGCAGTGGGGCAGAGAGTTCCCTACAGAGGGAAGGCATAACCAGGCTTGGCAAGTTAGTTCCCATTAGTGTGGCCACTAGCAGAAGTGGTGTTGCAGGGAAAGAGGAGGAAAAGGGGC